AAGGCAGTCAAATGTTGAAGCAGTGGCATGGCTATTGTTGGGGGCTTTTAGTCAGATATATGTTGAGAATCAAGAGCAAAGAGCCTAGCAGGATGCTACTGTGAGCAGTCTACCGTGAGTTTGGCCAGAAAGGAAGTGCTAATAAAGCTGTGGCCTGCAAAGACAGAGCTCAGAGGATCCCCATTTGCCAAGAAAGAACAAGAGAATGGAAAAGGTAGCCTGAGGGCATCACAGGAGGCATGTCTCTACCTGTCGCAGCCTCAGACCTGCAAGGGTGAGGGACTCTGCTCTGGAGAGAAAGCGCAGAGTGCCATGTTTCAGAATGGCAGCGGCAGTCACATCATTTTCCAGAATGGTGCTGGCATATCAGGTTCAGATTGCTCAGCATCCAGGCACTCAGCTTCTACAGCCAAGAGAGAACAAAGCCTGGCTACTTCTCCAGCTGGCAGCAGACTTTGGTATTATCCACGTGGCACTGGTAATAGGCGCAGGCAGAATGTAAGAGTTCTGAGGTTAAGCAGGCTTCCACCTTGATTTCAAAAGGCAGGGGAAGCCAGGCAGTGTGCCACAGAGAGGGCAGTGTGTGAAGCAGAGAGTAAGAAGCTTAATATGTAGTGGAAACCCCAGAAGTTTGGAAAAGCCAGAAATGTGGATCATCTGAGGAAAGTTACAAAGGAGCAAAGCCAGCTCCAGAGAGAAGCCATGGGATATACAGCCAGCAATAGAGCTATAGAGGTAGAGCCACATAAAGCTCACAATTTGCCATAGATTGCTTCAGATGTTCCACAGGGAACTACAGGACTTGATATTTGTCCTTATGGATTTTGGACTTGCTTTGGTCCCAATGCTTGGTATCCTGCTGTTTGTACCATTTGGAATGGTAATGCTTATCATGTGCCATTGAATGTTGGAAGTGTTTAAACTTTTCATTTGCACAGAGGCTCACAGCTAAGAGTTTGTCTTAGATCCCCAAAGAGACTTGGGACTTGCATTTTTCAGCAGAGATGAAACTGTGAGGACTTTGACAACTCTTAAACATGGACTAAAATGCCTTTTGCATCCCTTTATAGGGATGAACATGAGTCTTTGGGGGTCCAGGAGTGGAATGTTATGGTTTATGTCTAGTTGTCCCCCCAAAGTCTTATATAAGGCATGGAGCAGACTTCTAGAGTTTGTGATTAATTTATGATCCAGTGCTGGGATTATGGGTTGAGTGCTGCTGGGACTATGGGTGTGAGCATTACACCTGGCCTGAGGCAGAAAGCCTAAATGCAACATAAGGGAGGCAGACTCGCTCTCTGTAGCCATTGTTGCTGCTACTCTTCCCATTTGCTCTTGCTGTTTTCTGTTTTCTGCCACCATGAACTGAACTGCTGCCCTCTGCCATGTGCTGCTCTGTCTTGGAGCCAGCTGAGTATGGACTGAAACCTCCACAAACTGTGAGCTAAATAAACCTTTCCTTCCTTCATTTTACATGATATTTTGTCCTAGCAACAAGAGAAAAGTAACTGAGACAGTATCAATCTATAAAGTAAGTTTAATAGCCCACTGTCCATCTGACAAAGGGCTTCTATCTCGAACATATAGAGAATTTTTAAAAATCAGACCCTCCCCTTCAAATTGAAGGACCCAACCAAAACATGAGCACATGAGACACACACTTCTCAGATGAAGAAATACCAATGGCAAATAAATATGTAAAACAAAGTTCAACATCAGTCATTTGAGAAATGGAAATTAAAACAACAAGGAGATTTCCTCTCATCCCAGAAAGAACGGCTACCACCAAGAAGTCAACCAGTAACAAATGCTGGGGGTGCTGTGGGATAAAAGGAACCCTTCTCCGCTGTTAGTGGGAGTGCAGACTGCTCAACCACTGTGGAGATCAGTGTGACGATTCCTCAAAAGACTAGGATTAGAGGTCCCATTCAACCCCGCTATTCCTCTTCTGAGTATTTTCCCAGAAGAACTGAAAGCATCATACCACAGCGATATACATGCACTCATGGTTACAGCAGTAAAATCTGTCACAGCTAAATCTTGGAAACACTTAATGCCCATCAACTGAGGGATGGATAAAAAAGATGTGGTATGTTTATACAATGGAGTACTACTTGTCTATAAAGAAAGATAAACTCCAGGGTTTATAGATAAATAGATGAAACTAAAGACCATACTCATAAGTGAAATAAATCAGACTCACGTGAACATTGCATTGTCTCCCTATAAATAATATCCACAAGGTACAATAGATATGGTGAAAGAGAAAGAAACTGCTGTGAAGGGATGAACCACTGGGATGGGGAAAAGAAGGAAGGAAACTATATGTGTGTCTGTGTATCAAGATAGCTAAGATAACTACTAATTTCTATTAGTCTGTTGAAAGGGACAGTTAGTGCTTATATTGTTTGATCAAGTTTGCCTGCATATATCTGGTCATCTGAACACCTACTCCAAAGAAAACTATGGAATATAAGCAAAAAAAAAAAAGAAAAGAAAAGAAAAGAAATGAAAACCGGGACTGGAGATATAGCTCAGTAGAATAAGCACTTGCCTGGCAAGTGCAAGGGCCTGAGTTCAATCCCCGGTTCTACAAAAAAAAAAGGACTATAGCAAACACTTAATTTCCTATCATCTTGCTTTGAAATGCTTACCATTCTATTGTTTTCTTTTTATTCTCTTCAAAATAAATTGTTAAGTGATTGGTGTAAGTTTGATTGTATTTTCCTTTAGCATAATTATTTCCCCAAAAGTGGCATAAGATGCACATTTAAAGCACAAGTCCTGAGTTCAATCCCCAGCACAAAAGAAAATAAACAAAATAAATAAATATAAAGTGAGTGTCATGGACAAATTAGTAGTAACCAATAGGGCCAATATTTCAATCTGATACTCTGAAACAAAAGCTTATGCTCATAGGCACTAAGTGCTTTGCAAACTGCAGGTCACAATCATTAGTAGGAATCAATTTGTGGGGTTAATTCCATTACTTGTAGCCAGCAATTTAAAACAATGAAGTAGAACAGAAAATATGACTGCTTCAAATATCATGTAGATATTTGTAAGGAAACTTTCACCTTTTACTTTTGATGTTTAGATGTTTGTGTGCACATGCATGTGTGTTGTGTTTACGTGATCAGATCTTGATTTGAAGCTACACGTCCTCCTTCAGTAAATGTAAAAGGTCGAAAACCAAAAAGCACCGGCTGGACTTATTTGGGGTTTTCTTTGTAGCCTAGCCTCAATTCCATATTACTCCCAAATTTCAAAAGTGCCCCTTGGCTCTTTCCCACAGGAAGAACTCCTGCGAATCCCTTCATAGGCAGAATTAACCTTCAATAATATACACATTTATTCCATTTTTCCCTAGGCTAGTTGGAGGATTTGTATGGATTTTTCTCTAAAAGCTGCTGCGGAGGAAACAAGCAAATCTGGGCTCCCGTCTGGCACAGGCTCCCTCACACCGCAGACTGGGCCGTCCTGACTGCTACCCGAAGAACACTACACTGTGCTCCTTGGCACCTCGCACACTGCAGCTAAGACAGCATGCAGCTAAGAGACCCCGGAGGGTGACTGGTGGGATCATTCCTGTCAGAGACAAGCGACACAGAAACCAAAAGAGGAACTTATCTGCTCAGGTGCGGAGGGAGCTCAGAAAGCCAGCATACATCACACCACTGAACAGCCTGACAGGGCAGTTTCTTGTTTTCTTACAGTAAAAGATATCTGGCTCCAAATTGATAATCTTTTAAGATAACAGTTTTCACATTTGAATTTGACCACACTCATTAAATCTTCCCAAAAACTAAGAGTGGTACTGAAGGCCTAAAATATAATATTAGAATAACAAAGCTTGAGCAGAAAAGATTTTTCTATACAAAGCCAAAATATTTTTGATTAAGCGTTCTGTAATGC